AGAGAGACAGAGAGAAAGAAGGAAAGTGAGAAAGCAAGCTGCCAGGTCTGGGACTCAAACTGCAGTCAGCCATGTGGGAATCTAGCACTTTAACCACCACTCCACCTGCTGGGCCATTTTTTAAAGAATGCTTTTCTCCTTTTTAAAAACCTAAGAAAAATTCAATTAGGGGTTCTGAATATGAGAAAAATTATTTAGAATCTAAGTAATAATTAATATACATCAAATGATAAATATATAGATAGAGATATAGAGACTGTTTTAGAGAGCTAGTGGAATAAATGTGTTCTCTTTAATAGTTCATCTTCAGATTTAAAAAAAAATTGTGTGTGTGTTTGTGTGTTTCCTTTATCAACTTATGACACTGACTTTAATGGAGGAAAACTCAGAAGAATTACTATTTCACAAAGTAAAAGTCATACTTTTTGTCTTGTTTTCCCCTTTGGTAGCACAGTAACTACTAGGAATTATAAGAAAAAAACATAAAATGTTCACAACTTAATGTTATGTCCTAAATAAAAACATATCAAAACATAAAGTATATTATATTTTCCAATAGTGCAGTTTATGCTACAAGTATAGGAGCAAATTGGTTTAAAAGTTTGTTGTTGTTGTTTAACACTGTTTTCTCTCAGTACTGATGCTAGTTCCCCCTTCTTTTTTTATTGGAGAGTTTTCTCTTTTTTAAAATTTTTAACTTTTGACATAGGACTTGTGAGATTGCTGGAAAGACAGAGAGACAGAAAGTGAGAAATCACCCTCCAGGGAGATGGATACTTTGCAATTCCTTCTCCTCCATTCTCCTCTTGGGATTTTGGGCACACATGCACATGCGTCTGGCATGACTTTCAAGCCTCCGGGACTGGAATTTGAACCTCAGTCAGCCATGTGGGAATTCAGCGATGTAACCATTATACCATCTGCTAGTTCCTAGTTTCTCCTAAAGCAGCTTATCCACACTGCACCATTTCCCATCTTGAGATTTTACATTTCTGGGTCACTAACCATTCACCTCTTTTGCCCCAGGGAATCAGTTACTAGGCAGTGTGGAATAGCTCCTATTCTCTGCTGCCTGAAAAATTATTCAAATTATTCAATCCTTCACTATCCCTAGAGACCTAGTTGACTCTGCCCCCACTTTTTATACATTAACTACATTGTAGAGCTCCCGTTTATATTTACCCAACTCCTAGGTGTCACTCGTAGTGTGCCTCTGCCTAGCAGGCTTCTCTTGTTTGGAGCTGTAAGCACCACAAATGTAAGACTTTCATCTGTTGGAATGTCATACTGTGTGTCCAGCATAAATCTCACCCAAATATCTTCCTAAAGACTTACCTAAAAATCTGAATAACCTGGGCCATCTGGTAGCTCAGGGATTAAAGAAGTGGGATCCTACATGGCCCAGCATGATTTGAATTTGAACTCAGGAGACTTGCTTTATCAAAATCCTTTACATTTGTTTGCAAGAATGAATCATGGGAAGTACAATTCTCAAAGAGCAGTAATATTATCTAATAAATACAAACTCATATTTTCCAAGTTAAATATTTTGCATGGTACATTATTAACACTTTACCTATAAAGGTCTTCATCTATCAATTATCTTGAAGAACATCAAATGAAAGAAATGATATAACTTGGAGCAAAGTCTGTTCTTTGGCAAGAGAAAAGCCTCCTTCAATCAGTGAATTGTCCTTATTCCTTCCAAATCATACCCTTTTCTCCTCTTAGTTCACTATTTTTTGTTGTTGTTGGTGGTGGTGGTGTTATTGTTTTTTAAAGTTCTGTCATAGAGCACATGCATTCACCAGAGAGAGAAAGAGAAAGTAAAAAATCACCCTGCCACACACACTAAGGGGGTGGCTACATACCAATCCCTTCTCTTCCATTCTCCTCTCAGGATTTTGGGCACACATTCACAGGCAGTTGACTTGAGTTTCAAGCCACCAGGTGCAGGACTCTAACCTTGGGTCATGTGGGAGTCCAGTGCCTTAACCACCATACCACCTGCTGGGCCCAGTTAAGTCATTGATTTTAAGGCAATTCTTTCTTTCTGAGCTAGATCCTAGTCCTGTGAACAAAGTGCTGACCCTTATTTTGTTCATTGTGATGATCCTAGAGCCTGTCTCAGTGCCTGCACACATACATGTCCAGTAAATTGTCGTGATATAAATAAATGTTAATGGTTCTAAATTTTTTTCTTAAAATATACCACAATATTTATGGATATACATACAAGCACATCATTCTCAATAGTTGGGTAATATGTCCTAACTTTTTAAGAAGGTAGTACATGTCTGATAAGGCTCATTTAAAAATAATCTTGCTTATGCTCTTTTTTGGATGAGTTCAATAAAAACTTGTCTCTAATGACCCAGCTGAGGTAGCTGTAATTCTTACCCCCCACCCCCCCCGCTTTGGAGATATTAATGATAAAAGAAAAATTTATTTATGACTAGAAAAGTAAAGATTAAGGGATGGCTTCTAGGCTTCAAGATATGTTACACATCAAATCAGTGATTAACTACTTTATCTCTATTAATGTCTAGAAAGGAGTGAATATATTTAACAGAGAAGTTAAATAATTCATTTATTAACTGTCACAAGGTATTGCTACACAAAAGAATTTGCTGTTGAGGAAGGCTTTGGTGTGAAGTTTGTGAAATCAGCATCTTCTATTATAATTACTTAAGGTCTGCCTTTAAGCAGAGGATATCTTTAATAATTCTCAGAACATTTTCAACCTCATCAAATTTTAATTAACAATTACCATTGTTCATAGATCATCACTATCGCGTAGCACTCTAAGGGACTCAGAAAACGGATAAGCCCTTTTCTTTTCCATCAATGGATTTTAATCTAGTTGGAAGAAAACAAAAATAGAGCTTGCCTAAGTACAAAACTTCCCCCACCAGACAAAAATGGCATTAAGGTGAGAGCTGATGGAGCTCAACTAAGATATTTGCTATTCATGAATAAAGGAGGATCTGTAGAAATCTTCAAGATGTGTATGACACATGAATCTGTGCAGTAGTTGTGGCAGTTCACTGTGGCATATGGGTTCCAAGCTGAACTTTGAAGGAATGAGTAATTAAATGAAAACAGATCAGGCAAAAAATACTTTCTGAGTCTATGATTCTAATGCAAAGAGCATAGATTGGTTTAAGCAAAATGTATTAGCTGTGTGGATTCAAGGTTACTAAGTACACCAAAGGGAACCTACAAGTGAAAAATTAGTTTGAACTGTTAAAATGTGGACAGATTAGAGAGGGCAAAGAGAGGCTCATAGAGAGGTGTAAGTGAAATATCTGAGGAAGTGAGTAATCACTGGCAATTCCTGAAAAAAATAGTTTTAAGTAACAAATGTGTATTTAAACAAAATAAAACTGTTTGCTGTTGAGGGTATGGGGATATGGAACAGAGAGGATGGAATTTAAAGGTTATTCTAAAGAGCAGAATTTTAGACTTTAAAAAATGACCGAAATTTGAATTTGAAGGAAACATTTCATTTTAGCCACATCTGGTGTCAAATCGGATATCACTTGAGGTTGCTGTGTCATATTTTTGTCATCAACTATTGCCTGTCTCATCAGGTATTTTTTCATAACCAAAATGATTTTAGAAATTAGAGTGAACAGAGTTTTAGCCAAGATTTACATTTATTACAGCTATGTTGTTATTTTAATTGTTAACTAACCAAACTTGCAGGTATGATTTCTTCATTTTCTTCTACATTTTTTTTCTCTAATGACTTTCTGCTTTTGAAAATACTTTCTGCTTCAGGCATTCTTGTCTATCCACTTAACCTCATTTGTAACATCAATTCCTCATTTTCAAGCTATCACTTCTCACTTGATTGTTTAATCAAGAAAAAAAAAATATCCCCCAACTTATTCCCTAAATATTTGGCTACTGTCATTTACAGTAAAGAACTGATTTCCTATTCAAACACTCAGAAAGAGTTTATTTTGAAATTCTGGGTAAAAATGTATGTTCTGAATTGTCTGCTGGTATAGGGGGAAAAAAGATTAACTCTGTGATGACTTTTTCCCCTCTGAATACTAGATACCACGTGATTCAATTTGCAACTTAGCTTCAGTTTTATATCTTAGAAATTTAGAAAATAATTAAGTTTCAGGGAACCAAACACTATCTTTGTATACAAATGGCTTCTTTTACTTGGATTTCAGAATGCTTGCCTTTGACCAGATATGTCTTTACTGAGTTCTTTAACTAAAATATTCTTTAAAGTCAGGTCAACAGCAGTGGCATGAATGCTAAGACATTGTGCTCTGCAGGCTGAGACCACATAAGAGACATATTTAACTCCCAGTCCAACCCCTAAAGGCCAGGTGTGGTGGCCTAGACCACAGAGTGAGTCCCCATCTGGAAAAAAATAAAATAAAAGAAAGATTTGTAGTCCCAGCAGGAAGACTGAGGCAAGAATATGATGACATAGGAAGGCTCTGTCAAAAAAATAAGAGAGAAAGAAAAAGAGAAAAAGAAAAAAAATTCTTTAAAATGAATACTTAATTTTTTAAAAATGTTGCAAAAACATTTTCACATAATCTTATGTAGAATAATCACAAACGTTTACATGGAAATAAATCAATATTTGATACGAATACTTATTTAGTTACATTTCAAGTAATACTTCTGCTTTTGATTTTTGTGGAGTCGTTACATTTACATATCCTTCCTCATTGCACATAAAAACGTTCTACTTTTCATCATTTCTACATATGTGAGCCTTTTCCTGAGAACTTTCATAATACAAATCAATAATTTATATATGCTGAGAAAGACTGAGCAAAGATTATAGAGATATCTGATTTCTTTTAAGTTCATCTCTAAGGTCGGACAATGATATCTTCGAATCACTTAATATATTTTTCATGGGAAATGAGATCACCTTGCCATTTTTCTCTAAGGAGATAATTTTTAAATGACCACCCTAACGACTTTCTTTTCTTATTTTCTCCATCTTCTGTCCTCTACAGATGGGCCTCTGGGTCCCCGAGGATTAGCTGAAGCTACAGAGATGTGCACTCAAGAGTGCTTGGTTTTGGGCCACTCTGATAATTGCTGGATGCCTCCTGGCTTGGGTCCATATCAACACCCAAAATCTCCTCTCTCAACCTTTGCGCCCCAGAAAGAATGGGTCAAGAAGGACAAGCTTGTGAATGGCCACACCCTGACTAGAGCTTGGAAAGAAGACAGCAACAGGAACCAGTTTAATGACCGTAAGCAGTATGGCTCCAATGAAGGCCATTTCAACAATGGCAGCCACATGACAGACATTCCTTTGGCAAATCTGAAGTCTTATAAGCAAGCAGGAGGTTCTATTGAGAGTCCTAAGGAGCACCAACTCTAAGAAAAGACTTTATGGGACCTAATAACTTTAATCTAAATAGACATGCTAATACTGTGTGTGTCAGAGCTTTATGTATTCAATAGATCTCTACAACTATGCCCCTTATAGCAGGGATATCCATAACTTTGTGTTAGCACCATGGAGGAGACAATGTTTTGCAACAAAAGAGAGAAGATAGTTCTACTAGCCATGTGATCTTGTTTACTAGAATTGATTAAACTCTCCAGAGATGTCTCCATTGTGCAATTTTTTTTATTATTATTGCATTTTATTTTGACCCTGGACTGCTGCTATGAACAATAGAATATGCATTTGGAGAGTAAGAAAGTTTCATGGATTAGAGTGACTGACAAACATATCCAGTTAGAAAATTGTGCTTTTTGTCATTGATTTGTGCTGGGACCGCTATACTTGACATTATACTTCAAACAAAACTTAAAAGATAAGCATTAAACCTATTGTGCTGTTAACAACGTTAGTGGACACTTGTAAGTCAATCAGTGTTAAAGTATTTGTAAATAGAAACAAGTTATTATTAACAAACTTTTGTGTACTTATAACGTTCACCTAAAAATGTTGTAGCATAATTCTGTGTTTTATGGTTGCTTATTTCCTTTTTTTTTAATTTACCTCTTTCTTGTTATTTTTCTTGATTTTTTTAAGTGAGGTGTTTCTGCGTTAGTAGTCTGTCTTGACACACATTGTTCAAAGAATCTCAACACTTGTGTTTAAAAACAGGTTCTGATACATACAATATAAGAAATCTTGCTTCTTGTATGATAGCTTATGATGCTGAATTCTGTAAAAAATAAAAATTAAAGAAAAAAGGAAAACTTCATTGAGGAAAAAGAGGACTTCTGCAACAGCTTGTAAATTTGGAACCTATTTTTTTTTAATGTTCTTATTTTCAAAGTAGGCAAAAGTAAAATCACTTAATTAGTACGATTAAGTGAGAAAGTAATGGAAAAGTGTTATCCGTCAAAAGTGGTATAATATCCTGTACTTGTCACTCATGCAAAACTAATGTATCAAAATTAGCATATATGGAAGAAAATAACTATTCAAAAATAGTTTCAATTGGGCAAATGTGTGTCTACAACTTTGTTGAAATGACAGAGTTTGTGTTGATCCTCATATACAATAATGTTGTTGTAACACAAGTGTTATTAGACCATAGCCACAAAATATTTAATGTGTTGTGCCTTCATGATGTAACAGAACATTCTCCAGGTAGGGTAGTTGGGGGAAATAAAGGGATAAAACTCTAATTATTGCTGTTTAACTGTTTGTTATCATAGTTGGTCAATGCCTGGCAGGTACCAGCATAACGTCACTTAGGTCAAACCAACGGAGTGACGACTAATGTTAATAAGATCTCAGTTGCACGTGCAAACAAATCCAAATTCGAACATTCTTAGGAGGTTTTTGTTAAGGCATGACAGATGATTTAAACAAATAAATAGCATGCAACAAAATGTCTTTATTGAAAGAAGTGAAAGTTACCTTAATGCCACGGTTCACCATCAGTTTAAAAGTAAAAAAAATAATAAAACAAAAAATTAAAAAAAAAAGGTTTGCTAATCTGATAGTTAATTTGTTCTTACCAAAAATAAAATTACTTTGTAAATAGCAGTTCACATTTTCCACAGTATACTGGAAAATAATGGGTAGGGGTGCATTGCTTATTGAAGTACATTTTTGTCGGTTGTGAGGGGTGTTTGATGACTTTGACAGAATAAATATCTAAACAATTATCCTTGTTACTGCTTTGCCAGTTCTACGTTATTTACAATTATTCAGCTCTTGCAATAAATGTTCTGAATTCCTGATTGTAGTGTGTTCATTCTTGGTCAACATCCAGAGTGATTATTTATACTCCAATTGTTGGATAAATATATGTTGATAAAAAGTTAACTTTTATTTTCAAATCAAGGGAGATTTGTTGGGGTTTAATATCCATCTTCTGAAATCTGATTTCAATCTAAGAGTTAAACTTCCCTAGTGGTGCTTTCTAGGGAATTCATGAAGAAAGTTGGTTCATTCCCTAGCCAAAATTCATATAAAGTTTCATCAAAAGGTTTCATTCATGTAAGTTTTGTTATTAAATCACTAGTCAGAAATAGCACATAACACTAATCAGCGAGGTCGTCGTCTTGCCACTTTGTCAATTAAATAAGATTTTATGAAACAAACTCTTTTATTACTAAGCAAGGCAAAAGACCATTCTGGTATTATGGTCTTAATACCAAGGCCAAAGTTTCACCTACTTTTTTTTTTTTTTTTGAGTTTTGCAATAAGGTGCATGTACTCCCCAGGGGGGGCATAGGGGGCAGAGAGAGAAAGGAGAGAGAGGAGAGAGAGAGAGAGAGAAAATGAGAAGTCGCCCCCAGGCAGGATAGCCACACCACAATCCCTTCTATTCCATTCAGCTCTCAGAATATGGTGTGTGCACACACACACATAGACATGCACCTGTATTTTTCAGGCCCCTGGGTCCAGGACTCAAACAGGGCAGTTGGCTATGTAGAATCTTGGTGCCTTAAACACCACTCTACCAGCTGGACCCATCTGTATATGTTTCTTGTTTGGAAAATAAGCTAGGACGACACAGTCAAATGTAAGGCAGTTGATTATACTCACCATGGACCAACTGCACCAATGTTTACTTGTGTTAGAATTTTGGGCTAGCTAAGTGGGCCTGACTCTCTCCCTAGAGCTTTTGGAAGACATGTGAAAAATGACTCAGGAGACCAAAGCAAATTGAAAGTATAAAAGAACTCAACTCCCCGAACCCATCTCCATGATATTAATAAAACAAATGTATCTACTCTTATCAGTTATGTATTCTATGAAACTTTAAGTGTAGGAACATCACAAAACAAACTGAAGAATTTACTCAAGTAAATAAAATAGTACATTCATTATGATTATTTTTTTAAATATCATTCATATCACCTCATTTTGTGGACATGCAATATTAAAAATCATAATTTACTTGGAAATAAAAAGCCATTTATATTACCTAGGAGAACAAATCCATAGGAAATATGTAAACTTATGATTTTTAGAATGATTCTCAAATGTTCTGATGCTATATATACTAACATTTCTGAGCCAGATTTAGAAATAAACTTTACAAATTTGAAATATAATTTATTTGAATGTACATTTCTACACATACTTTAATATAAAATACATATGTAAATAATGGCCATTTATTAATAGACCATTGAGAAGTCATTTTTACTGCCCTAATGCTAGTTAGCAAATCTCTTTCAAAGTCCCATCATTCTGTGGCTAAAGCTAGAAATGCAGCTGAGACCCAGAGCTGTTCCAGTATTTATTAAACTTTGGAGAGAAGCCAGGAATAGTTACTTATTATTAGTGAGGAGTTTGACTCTGAGGGATGAAAAAGATGCCTTGTCGTTTTCAGTATTAATGCGGACGCCAGGGTGTGACTTTGTATGAGGGCAAACCAAAATATGAGAAGGAGGAGTGATGTCCTGAGTCTAAAAATGCTTCATTGTTTTCAACACAGCTGATAGTCCCTCCCTACAGAAAGTTCCACCATTGGTTCTTTGAGAGAGTGTGCTTTAAAATTCTAACAGAGTTCTTAAAGGCGCAGTGATTACATAATGAATTCTCCATACACTACCCTTGCCCTTTCATGACAACCAATATACATTTTAGGTATATTGACTTTATACTGTTCAAAAACTCAGGGAGATTAATCTCTTAGTATTTAAATATCTTTAAAAGCTATATACTATTAAAACATGATTATCACAATTAAATTTCATTCATACTCAATTCACTGAAAGCATCAATTAATAGGTATTCTAAATCTGTCAGTTTTCTGTTATCTTGAGACCACTTCCATTTATTTGTAAGCACAAATAAGAACTGTATCTTCTACTTCTACATATATAATATGTTTTGTTCTTTAGAATTCTCTTTGTGTTTTTTTGTTTGTTTGTTTGTTTTTGTTTTTTTTTTTTTTAGAGAAAATGAGTTTTGTTAGGGCATGTGCACTAGCCAGAGAAACAGAGACTGGGAGACAAAAAGCAAGAAATCACCCCCCAAGGGAGGATAGCCACACTACAATTACAATTACTTCTCCCTTCTTTTCTCCGTATCTTGAGCATGCATATGCATGTATCTGATATGAGTTTTAAGTTGCCAGGTCTAGGACTCAAATCGTGGTCGAACATGTGGGAGTCCAGTGATATAACCATTATACCATCTGCTGGTCCCCCTTAGAATTTTTAAATGGTGCACCATATTAAAATGATTTTTTTATACTTTTGTTGTCTTAATGTATCATGTTTTTAAGATTTTATGGTAAAAAAGTTATTTTAAAATAGTCTTTCATTTCTATTCTCAGTTTTTAAATGCCCAAAGGTTTTATTATAGCCAGCATATGAGTGACACAATTATTATTGGACTTATTCAATGCACATATTTACAAATAGGTTGAATTATAGAGATTTTTCAAATAATATTACAGTTTTATTTGAATTCAAACCCTATACTTGATGGATTTTCATGGTTCTTCTGTTCTAACAAGACTGTTTTCTCCCCATGTTCAAGGTCATCATTAGTTTTGATATCACTGACATAATCCTAAGTAATGATATGCAAAGACAATCATACAAACCTTTGCCATGGAACCCTAAGAGAGCTGAAGTTTCTTGCAACATGTTAGGTGATTCTAAGTTAAATTATCCTATTGTTATATTTTATAATAATATTTTTAATTGATTTTTATATAACAAGTTGTGATTAAATTATATTATACCTGAAGTATTTTGGTTTATTGCTGAAATTATTGTGAAATGATTTAAGAAACTGCTAAATTCACCCATCATTAAATTTATACACACATAAGCATACTCTAGTGTCACTATAACTGACAATTTGACCTTGTTACTAGAGCATCAAATCTCTAAATTATCACAGTTGGCCATATGAGAGTCCAATGACATAATCATTAAGCTATTTTCTTCTTTGGTTTCCTGTAAACCATGATCTTTGAATTTCCTCTTACCAATGGCCATTCCTTCTCAGGCTTCTCTGTTAGTTTCTCCTTTGCTTAGGACTTTTAACCTTTTATGAGATCCCAGAGTTCTTTTATTTCTTTTCTTTTCTGTTTATACTCATTGTCTCAGGGAGCACATCTAGAATTATAATTAAAAATACCTTCTTTATGAACTCAAGTTTATATTAGAGTCTGGATCTCTTCCATAAGTGTCAGAATTTTTAACCCAGTTACCAATTCAGTGTTTATAATGGATATATCAGGGACAGATCAAAACTAACATGCAATATCCTTTCTAAAATCATACACACGCATGCATGTACACACACATACTACTGTATGCAGATCCCTTATTTCTCAATGGTGTTTTCATAAGTTACTCCACCAGATAATTTAGGCTTATCTTTATTTCTTCTCTTTCACTTATGAAACTTTTCTTTC